CCAATTTGTTACTTGAGTTATTCTTTTATTATTTAATTATAAGAGCTCTTTATTATTCTGGATACAAGTCCTGAAACAGATATAATATTTGCAAATATTTTAATCCATTCTGTGAATTTTATTTTCACTTTCTTGATGGTGTCCTTTGAAGGACATAGGATTTTAATTTTGATAAAGTGTAATTTATTTCTTTTTTCTTTTGTTGCTGTGCTTTGGTGTCATATTTGAGAAATTGCCTAATCTAAGATTATGACAATTTTTTATTCTATGTTTGCCTTTAAAAATTTTCTAATTTAGGTCTTTCATTCATTTTGAGTCCATTTTTGTATATGATGTCAAATATGGGTCCTAAATTATTCTTTCGGATGTAGATATCTTGTTGTCCCTGCACCATTTGTTGAAAAGTGTTTTTCTTTCTCCATCGAATGACCTTGGCACTCTTGTCTAAAATTAATTGATGATAACTATAGGACTTTATTTCTAGACTCTTTATTCTATTGATCAATATTTCTATCATTGTTACTGAGCAATGTGCTTGCTACCTGACAGATAGAGAAACCAATATTATGGAACTGGTTTTTGAGAAAAGCAAAAACTTTATTGTGAGGTTGACTTGCAAGAAAACAGGAGGCAAAGCTCAAATCTGTCTCCCCATCTGGGATGTGGGTCCAGTTTTATGGGTTAGGGAGGTCAAGCTGGTATGCAGAAGCACTGGTAGGGCAGGTTTTGACTGGAAGGACTTTAAACAAGACCATTTATGGTAAGATATGGTAAGGGGTCTTAACAGTGGATATGCCTGGGCTCAGGTTTTTTGCTTTTGAAAATGTTTGGGCCCTCTGGTTCCAGCCATGTCTTGACCCTTTGCTTCTGTGGTGGGGCAGGAATAAAATTTTACTTCTGGGTATTATTCAAAGTTGATGTCTTTTTTTCTGCATTTGCTTTGGCTGTGTGACTTACAACTTTTTGGCTGTGTGCCTGCAAAATAACTTGACATCCTATTATCATTGGAGTAAGGCCAGTTAGAACTGGTCCTGGGAATACGTCATTATGCTAGTACCAATTGTCTTGATTATTGTCGCATTGTAGTAAGTTTTGAAATCAGGAAGTATGTGTCTTTCAACTTTGGCTTTCTTTTTCATGATTTTTGGCTTTTCTGTGTTCCTTGCATTTCCATATGAATTTTAGGATAAACTTAATTTCTGCAAAAGAGGGAACTGGGATTTTTAGAGGGATTGCATTGAAGCTGTAAATCAGTTTGGAGAATACTGCCTTCTTAATATTAAGTCTGATTCATGAATGCAGACTGTTTTCCATTTGTTAAGTTCTTCTTTAATTTTTAACAGCATTCTGTAGTTTTCAGTGTTCCTGTCCTGTAATTCTTTGTTGTTTTTACTCCTAAGAATATTATTGTTTTGCTGCTATTATGGAATATGGAATTTTTTAAAAATATATAATGGAATTTAAAAATTTTCAATTTTATATTTTTTATTGCTAGTATATAGAAATGCAATTGATTTTTGCATATCGATCTTGTAACCTGAAACCTTGCTGAAAATGTTTATTAGTTCTAATAGTTTCCTTTTTGTGGATTTCTTAGAATTTTCTATACACAGTATCATGTCATCTATGAAGGGATAGGTTTACTTCTTCCTTTCTAATCTGGATGAGTTTAGTTTCTTTTTCTTACCTAAATTCCTTGGCTAGAACTCCAATACAATGTTGACTATAAGTGATAAAATAGACATCTTTGGATCGTACTTGATCTTAAGAGGGGGCATCCAGTCTTTTATCATTATGTAAAATGATAGCTGTGGGGCCTTAACAGATGAATTTTATCAGGTTGAGAAAATTCCATTTTATTTCTAACTTGCTTAGTGTTCTTTTTTTCAAAACAAAGGTGTTGGATTTTGTCTAATGGTTTTTCTGTGTCTGTTGTGATGATCATATGGTTTTTGTCATCTATTCTACAAAATGTAGCATATTACATTGATTGATATTTGTATGCTAATTTTTAAAAATTTTACTTTAAGCTCTGAGATACATGCGCAGAACGTGCAGGTTGCATAGGAATACATGTGCCATGGTGGTTTGCTGTACCTATCAACCCATCATCTAGGTTTTAAGCCCGGCATGCATTAGGTGTTTGTCCTAATGCTCTGCCTCCCCTTGCCCCCCACCTCCTGACAGGCTCTGGTATATGTTGTTTCCCTCCCTGTGTCCATGTGTTCTATTGCCACTTATAAGTAAGAACATGCAGGGCTTGGTTTTCTTTTCCTGTGTTAGTTAGCTGAGAATGATGATTTCCAGCTTCATCCATGTTCCTGCAAAGGACATGAACTCATTCTTTTTTATGGCTGTATAGTATTCCATGGTGGATATGTGCCACATTTTCTTTTTCTTTTTTTTTTTTTTTTTTGACGGAGTTTCGCTTGTTACCCAGGCTGGAGTACAATGGCGGGATCTCGGCTCACCGTAACCTCTGCCTCCTGGGTTCAGGCAATTCTCCTGCCTCAGCCTCCTGAGTAGCTGGGATTACAGGCATGCGCCACCATGCCCAGCTAATTTTTTTTTGTATTTTTTGTAGAGACGGGGTTTCACCATGTTGACCAGGACGGTCTCGATCTCTTGACATCGGGATCCACCTGCCTTGGCCTCCCAAAGTGCTGGGATTATAGGCGTGAGCCACTGCGCCCGGCCGTGCCACATTTTCTTTATCCAGTCTACCATTAATGGGCATTTGGGTTGGTTCCAAGTCTTTGTATTGTAAATAGTGCTGCAATAAACATAAGTGTGCATGAGTCCTTATATTAGAATTATTTATATGCTTTTGGGCGTATACTCAGTAATGGGATTGCTGGGACAAATGGTATTTCTGGTTCTAGATTCTTGAGGAATCACCACATTGTCTTCCACAATGGTTGAACTAATTTATACTCCCACCAACAGTGTAAAGGCATTCTTGTTTCTACACAGCCTCACCAACATTTGTTGTTTCCTGACTTTTTAATAATCACCATTCTAACTGGTGTGAGATGGTATCTCATTGTGATTTTTATTTGCATTTCTCTAATGACCAGTGATCATAAGCTTTCTTTCATATGTTTGTTAGACACATAAATGTCTTCTTTTGAGAAATGTCTGTTAATATCCTTCACTCATTTTTTTGATGGGGTTGTTTTATTTTTTTTTCTTGTAAATTTGTTTAAGTTTCTTGTAGATTCTGGATATTAGACCTTTGTCAGATGGATAGACTGCAAAAATTTTCTCCCATTCTGTAGGTTGTCTGTTCACTCTGATGATAATTTCCTTTGCTGTGCAGAGCTCTTTAGTTTAGACCCCATGTGTCAATTTTGGCTTTTGTTGCAATTTTTTTTGGTGATTTAGTCATGAAGTGTTTGCCCATGACTATGTCCTGAGTGGTATTGCCTAAATTTTCTTCTACGGTTTTTGTGGTTTTACATTTAAGTCTTTAATCCATCTCGTGTTAATTTTTATGTAAGATGTAAGGAAGGGGTCCAGTTTCTGTTTTCTGCATATGCCTAGCCAGTTTTCCCAGCACCATTTATTAAATAGGGAATCCATTCCCCATTGCTTGTTTTTGTCAGGTTTGTCAAAGATCAGATGGTTGTAGATGTGTGGTGTTATTTCTGAGACCTCTGTTCTATTCCATTGGTCTATGTATCTGTTTTGGTACCAGTACCATGCTGTTTTGATTACTGTAGCCTTGTAGTATAGTTTGTAGTTAGGTAGAGCCTTGGCTATACCAGCTCTTTTTTGGTCCCATATGAAATTTAAAGTAGTTTTTTCTAATTCTACAAAGAAAATCAATGGTAGCTTAATGGGAATATTATTGAATCTATAAATTACTTCAGGAAGAATGGCCATTTTCATGATATTAATTCTTTCTATCCATAAGCATGGCATTGTTTTCCATTTGTTTGTATCCTCTCTTATTTCCTTAAGCAGTGGTTTGTAGTTCTCCTTGAAGAAGTCCTTTATGTCTCTTGTAAGTTGTATTCCTAGGTATTTTATTCTCTTTGTAGCAATTGTAAATGGGAATTAACTCATGATTTGGCTCTCTTGTCTATTATTGGTGTCTAGGAATGCTTGTGATTTTTACGCATTGATTTTATATCCTGAGACTTTGATGAACTTGCTTATCAGCTTAAGGAGTTTTTTTACGCTGGGACAACGGGGTTTTCTAAATATACAATCATATTGTCTGCACAGAGAGACAATTTGACTTTCCTCTTCCTACATAAATACGCTTTATTACTTTCTCTTGCCTGATTGCCTCGGCCAGAACATCCAATACTATGCTGAATAAGAGTCGTGAGAGAGGGCATCCTTGTCATGTGCCAGTTTTTGATGGGAATGATTTCAGCTTTTGCCCATTCAGTATGATATTGGCTATGGATTTGTCTGAAATAGCTCTTATTTTGTGATATATTCCATCAATACCTCGTTTATTGAGCATTTTTAGCATGAAGGGTTGTTGAATTTTATTGAAGGACTTTTAGCATCTATTGAGATAATCATGTGGTTTTTGTCATTAGTTCTGTTTATTTGATGGGTTATGTTCATTGATTTGTGTATGTTGAACCATCTTGCATCCCAGAGATGAAGCCGACTTGATCATGGTGGACAAGATTTTGATGTGCTGCTGGATTTGGTTTGCCAGTATTTTATTGACGATTTTTGCATCTATGTTCATCAGGGATATTGGGATGAAATATTCTTTTTTTGTTGTGTCTCTGCCAGGATTTGGTATCAGAATGATGCTGGCCTCAGTTAGGGAAGAGTCCCTATTTTTCTATTGTTTGGAATATTTTCAGAAGGAATGGTACCAGCTCCGCTTTGTATCTCTGGTAGACCATGTATTAGATGAAATGATATGTATGGACTACCTTGCACATAATAGTTGTTTCCAATTATGTTCCAAAAATATCTTTAATGTAATAATTCATGTTTTATTTTATTTTCTGTGTTTTATCTCACAGATATGTAGACTGTCAAAATGTATGGGATGCATTCAAGGGTGCATTTATTTCAAAACATCCTTGCAACATCACAGAAGAAGACTATCAGCCACTACTGAAGCTGGGAAAGCAGACAGTACCTTGCAACAAGGTAATTGGGGGCAAGCTATTGATTTTATAACTGGGGATAAAAACCAAAGGTAAAAATGCACAGGACCAATTATTTTTTGATTTTTATTTTTGAGACAGAGTCTCGCTCTGTCACCAGACTGGACTGTAGTGGTGTGATCTCGGCTCACTGCACTCTCTGCCTCCTGGGCTCAAGCGATTCTTGTGTGTCAGACTCCCAAGGAGCTGGGACTACAGGCATGCACCAGCACATCCAGCTAATTTTTGTATTTTTAGTAGAGAGGGGGTTTCACCATGTTGGCCAGGATGGTCTTGATCACTTGACCTTGTGATCTGTCTCGAGGCCTGACTTCACCTCCCAGAATGTTGGGACTACAGGCTTGAGCCTCTGTGGCCAGCCAGTACCAAATTTTGATTAGAATGAGGAAGAGGAAAAATCCAGACATTATAGTGTGGGTGTGGTTGATAGAAATGGAATTTGCAGGCCATTGAGGAGCCATGATATAATAAAGATTTAGGACATCTGGAGAAAAGAGGTGAGAGAGGGAAATGGGGACAGATAAATAGGAAAGGAGATTTAGCCAAAAGTTAGGCAGAAAAAACCTAACGCCAAACCCAACTCAAACAAACAAACAAATTAAACCAAACTATATAATTACAAAACTTTCCCCTGACCAATGATATTATTAGTAGTAGTAGTAATAATAACAACAATGCCAAGTTACACTTGCAGAGCACTTTTTTTTTGCTTACAAAAGACTTTCCTAATCCTTATCTTCTTAGGCCTTCACAGCCATTCTGTGGAATGGGCAGGTCAGATGTCAGGATCCCCATTTCACCAGTGAGAAAACTGAGACTTGGTGCGTTTAGGTGACCAGTGTTGCCCAAATTGGCAGGCTTGAAAGTGACCAGTTTAAATGTAAATGGTATGATACTTGGAGCCACAGAGGCCTGGATTCTAATATGTTGATTATATTGGAAAAGGTCTATCAGAGTACACCTTTTCTGTAGTCAATGTTTAAGGCAAAATTCCATGTGCCTAAAATTATGTTTGTGAAGCCCTTATCTCCATCCACAAATTACAGCCTCTCATTCCATTGTCGGTGAGCTGGAGTCATTGTGAAACTTCTCCATTCACCAGGTGTGATGCCCTATGCAGAAAAGTTGTCTGGAAAATGATAACCCGGGCTGACATTTGTCAAATAAGTGACTGCAATAGATAGTATGCTAGATAATTTACTTGCATTTATCTCAATTAATCTCCCTAGCATCCCATGAGTTTATTTCAGTCATTATCATTACCATATTACAGGTGTAGAAAGTGGGGCTTAGTGATGTTTTGGTTGCTCAAGGTGAAACACCTAGTAAGTGATGATAATGCTGGGCTTCAATAAGGACTGGAATCTTAGGGCCCATGCTTTTTTTTTTTTTTTTTTTTTTTTTNTTGCAGAGACAAGTAAACATTTATGTTTGTACCTTTCCTCCTATGTGTATTTCAAGTCTTTCTCACAAGGCCCCAGGAATCACCAGATTCAATTATGTCCCTGGGCTTGTCCACTACTGCAGGAGTCTTAGGAAGCCTTGTACAAACGCTAGAGTTACTCAATTACCAGCATTAAACCCTGGGATAAGAGACGCAGCAAAGCAGAACTCCTTCCTCCATGGAATGTGCTGATTTCAGATGAGGCAGCAGCCAAAGTAGAAAACGCTGGAATTTTTCCTTGGAACTGGATTGTGATGAGAGGTGCTTGCAATGAACATAAGCTACTGTTTTTTTCTTTTTCTTTCTTTTGAGACAGAGTTTCGCTCATTGCCTAGGCTAGAGTGCAATGGTGCGATCTTGGCTCACAGAAACCTCTTCCTCCTGGGTTCAAGCGATTCTCCTGCCTCAGCCTCCCAAGTAGCTGGGATTACAGGCATGGGCCACCATGCCCGCTAATTTTTGTATTTTCAGTAGAGGCAGGGTTTTGCCATGTTGGCCAGGCTGGTCTCGAACTCCCGACCTTAGGTGATCCGCCCTCCTCAGCCTCCCCAAGTACTGGGATTACAGACATGAGCCGTCACGCCTGGCCAGCTACTGTCTTTTCTTTGACCCTTCCTTTACAGTTTTTAAAGATAAAGCAAGAAATAATCTTCTCTGAAGATACTTGATACACATTCTCCAAACCCAAAAACACATGCTTCCACTTCACTGATAAAAATTTATTGCAGTTTGGCGCCTGGTTCTAGTTCAGCTGGCGGATAAGCTGATTGATGTGTTCACCCCGATAGCCAGGCGTGCCCATTTCCTTGAGGAAGCCCACTCTATTTTTGGTAGCATGACAGGCCACTGAGAAGTGGAAAGGGCGCAAGAACCATGAAATCTCCTGGAAATGCTTCCCCGGGAAGGCAATTTCACGAATGAGGTCTTCCAAGCAAATGACACCAAACTTCCCCAGGTGCTCCTCAATCACAGTGTTGTCTGTCAGAGGGATGGTCTTATTCTTGACCCTGGCTTGTCCACGTTTCAAAATGAGTTCCCGGACAGACTTCAGATTTGGAAATCTCCAGGTCACATAAGGTTCCGCTATACGCAGCATTTTTAGGTTCTGGGGAGTGACTTTTACAAAGACACCACTAAAAATTTTCTTTAGGTGAAGTCTTGCAATGGTTCTCTGCACCAGTAAACTCACACCACCAATCCTTTCAATGTGTACGACAAAGGCCAAAGAATGTTTATCTGGCAATTCCAAGGCATAAGGCTTTACTTCCAGTCATCTGACACGTACCTTGTCATGTGTCTGCCGCCAGGAATCATGTAGGAATGATTCCAATTGCTTAAACCTGGGCCCTTTTCCTTTCCTCTGCTCCTTCTTTGCCAAAAGTGCCTGCGTTGCCTGAGTGGCTTTGAGGGCTTGATAAGCCTTCCTCTTTTTCAGGAGATTTTCTGGAACCAAAGGGATTTTTCTTTGCTCTTGCTCTGCCATCTTTCCGGTGTAGCAGCTACTGCAGGGCCCATGCTTTAAACCAATATCCTCCTCTGACTCCTATTAAGAATAAATGGGGGGAGGGGCAAGATGGCTGAATAGGAACAGCTCTAGTCTGCAGCTCCCAGCAAGACCGATGCAGAAAGTGGGTGGCTTCTGCATTTCCAACTGAGATCAGGAGATTCCCTTATGTGTCTATACCACCAGGGCCCTGTGTTTCAAGCACAAAACTGAGCTGCTGTTTGGGCAGACACCAAGCTAGCTGCAGGAGTTTTTTTCATCCCCAGTGGTACCTGTAACCTCAGTGAGACAGAACTGTTCGCTACCCTGGAAATGGGGCTGAAGCCAGGTTCGCTCAGTAGGTCTCACTCCCATGGAGCCTAGCAAACTGAGAACCACTGGCTTGAAATTCTTGCTGCCAGTACAACAGTCTGAAGTCAACCTGAGATGATGGAGCTGTGTCAGGGATGGGCGTCTGCCATTACTGAAGCTTTTGGTGGTTTTTCCATGACAGTGCTAAGGAGGCTGGGAAGTCTGGGATGGGTGTGGCAACATGGCTGTGGCCAGACTGCTTATCTAGATTCCTTCTCATTGCCCAGGGCATCTCTGAAGGAAAGGTAACAGCCCTAGTCAAGGACCTACAGACAAAACCTCCATGTCTCTGGGACAGAGCACCTGGAGGAAGGGGCAGCTGTGGGCGTAGCTTCAGTGGATTTAATAGTTTTTGCCTGCCAGCTCTGAAGACAGCAGCTGCTCCTGACAAGAGGGATTCTATCAGCACAGCATACCAGCTCTGCTAAGGGACAGACTGCCTCCTCAAGTGGGTTCCTTCTACCCCTGTGTCTCCTGACTGGGAGGAACCTCTCAACGGGGGTCAACAGGCACCTCATACAGGAGAGCTTTGGCTGGAATCAGGCTGGTGCCCCTCTGGAATGAAGCTTCCAGAGGAAAGAACAGGCACTAATCTTTGCTGTTCTATAGCCCCCACTGGTGATACCCAGGCAAACAAGGTCTGGAGTGGACTTCTAGCAAACTGTAGCAGCCCTGCAGAAGAGATGCCTGGCTGTTAGAAGAAAAACTAATAAATAGAAAACAACAACATCAACATCAACATCAACAAAAAGAACCCCCCCCACAAAAACCCCATCCAAAGGTTATCAACCTCAAAGATCAAAGGTAGATAAATCCACTAAGAGGAGGAAAAACAAGCACAAAAATGCTGAAAATTCCAAAAACCAGAATGCCTCTTCTCCTCCAAATGATCACAATTGCTCTCCAGCAAGGGCAGAAAACTCAACGGAAAATGAGATTGATGAATTGACAGAAGTAGGCTTCAGAAGGTGGGTAATAAAAAACTCCTCTGAGCTAAAGGAACATGTTCTAACCCAATTCAAGGAAGCTAAGAACCTTGATAAAAGGTTACAGGAACTGCTAACTAGAATAACCAGTTTAGAAAGGAACATAAATTATCTGATGGAGCTGAAAAACACAGAATGAGAACTTTGTGAAGCATTAACAAGTAGCAATAGCTGAATTGATCAAGTAAAAGAGGGGATATCAGAGATTGAAGAGCAACTTACTGATATAAGGTGTGAAGATAAGGATAGGAAAAAAAAATGAATGAACAACAAAAAAGGAATAAACAAAGCCACCAAGAAATATACGACTATGTGAAAAGACCAAACCTACAATTGATTGGCGTACCTGAAAGTGACAGGGAGAATGGAACCAAGTTGGAAAACACACTTCGGGTTACTATCCAGAAGAACTTCCCCAACCTAGCAAGACAGGCCAGCATTCAAATTCAGGAAATACAGAGGACACCACTAATATATTCCTTGAGAAGAACAACTCCAAGACACATAATTGTCAGATTCTCCAAGGTTGAAATGAAGGAAAAAATGTTAAATGCAGCCAGGGAGAAAGGTCAGGTTACCTACAAAGGGAAGTCCATCAGATTAATGGCAGATCTCTCTGCAGAAAGCCAGAAGAGAGTGGGAGCCAATATTGAACTTTCTTAAAGAAAAGAATTTTCAACCCAGAATTTTATATCCAG